GCTGGCTGCACCCTGCTGTGCCCTCCAGACCAGCTCCTGGGGGAAGCCGGCTCAGAGGCGTGGACGCAAGGGAGAGCCTTTAACTTTGGCATCCCATCCAGATGAGCGTTTTGACTCGTGCTTCTGTGCTGTCCTCATACTATCCAGCATACTTCTTCTGGATAACAGGACTTAGTATGGAGGGAGGGGAAGATTTTAAATGGCACCCTGTTTACACTTGTTAGGGATTCCTTGGCTGTGAAGGCCGTCCAGGTTGTCAGAAGCCATGGCCCTACTTTGCATGGACAGAGGGGAGCATTTGCAGAGGGCTTTGCAGGGACAAGGGTCAGACCGAGTAACTGGCTGGCCTTCTCAGGCATTGCTCTGCATTTCAATTGAAGAAGGTTATTAGAATGCAAAAAACTAAACAGCTGTGATTCAGGCCATTGTCAGTGTGAAATATTCCAGGTAATGGTAGCTTTCAGAACTACATGCCAAACTGGAGATCTCAAGGAAGTGGGCCTGTTCTCTTATAAGAGGACCACTGGTCATGGCAGTGCTCCTCCCAAAGCCGTGCTGATGCCACCTTCCTGTCATCATCCACGGCCGATTCCTGCTGCTAGAATGTGCCAGCTCGCCACTTCCCCTTCCCCCGGCACAGAGCCTGGCATGCCCCTGGGTGCCTCATTTGTTGCATGGACACTGTCTGGGATGGAGGGGCTTGGGCAGCAGTCGGCAGTGAGTCTAAAACTCCCATGTGGTGTTTGAGCTGTTTCTCCTGTCAGTCAGCAGGCACCCTCCTGACTGGTGCAGCATGTGCAGTATGTGGCTCTCACTGTATTGTACGGTGACTTTATATAACTGTGCCAAAAGGACCGTTTTACAGGGTAGTTTTAACTATAAAGTATTTGATCAAAATAATTCCTTGGCCCCCAGGTGGTGAGATGTCCCTGGTGGTCCTCTCAGTTCTGTCGTTGTGCAGGACCACGCTGCCACCTGGAAAGTCAGCACTGACTATCCTTGTGAAGAGCAGCCCGCCTTCTGTGTGGCAGACCTCCTTGGTTCTGTGGCACTTTGCCGCACAGCCGATCACAAGGGTCTTGAGATGGAAGATGGTGGGCTTAAGGCCCCGGCCTCTTGCCCAGCCCTGCCCACCTGGAGGTGCCTCTTGCTCTTCACTCTCACACGTCACAACCGAGCCCCCAGCCCTGCCCCCTTGGCTCGCCCCTCTGTCCCTGTGTTGGCCCGCACACTGACATCTGCCTAGTTATGGCCCTAGACACCAGGGACTTGTCTCCTTCTGACCCCGACACCGGGTCGGCCTCACTCCCCTGGGTTTTGCCGTGGCTGCTCCACTGGCCTGGCCGAGTCCATCCTGCCTGTGCTGCCAGAAGGTCCACTCACATGTGTTTGGTTTGCCCCTTGTCCAGGATGAAACCGAACAAACCGGGGTGCATTCAGGCCTTCCACATGGGCAGGGAACTGCTTAGGTTGAAAGTGGGTATGGTGAGGCTTCTTTCTGAAGGATGTCTCTGACCCCAAGTGAAGGAGAGAGGCCGTATGGGGATGGTGGGTAGAGGGGAGAGCAGGCCTGGTGAGAGGCTGCAGTACTAACCACATGTGGGGAGCCGGAGGCTGGAGGACTCCTGACATGTGCTGGTGAGACATGGGGGTGCCACATTGCCTTTAAGTAGGATGTGGAAGCACAGATATAGGTAAGAGGAGGGGCAGCTTTTTGTGCAAAATACAAATTTTCTTAACATATTTGGTTTTTGCTGCCCTCTTTGCCTGGAAACCTGGAATGTAGTTCTCCTTGGTTTTCCTGGTCACCTCTTACTCATCCTGAAGACACAGACCAGGGCAGCCTCAGGGTGGCCTGTGTAGCCACCCCACACCTCCAGAGCACCCCCAAGCCCGCCTTCCCTGTAGGCTCACTGAGCCCCTCCTTTATCCCAGACCACAGGTGGTGACGCTGAGGCTGGGAGTGGATCAGCGATGAGCCAGGTGCACCCTGATGCCCAGGGGCAGGCCCAGATCTGAGCAGCCCTTCTTGCTCTAAGTGACAAGGACGGGAACGTGAGGACTTCACACATGAGCTTTTCTGTCACTGGGGCAGTTCAGACAGCCCTGCGCTGGCATCTGCTTTCGCACACGTCTGTGTGTCTGTTCTTGACAGTGAGGATGTGGGGATTTGTTCACGGGCAAGAAGGGAAGCCAGAGAAGCATGCTGGAAGTTTGAAATTTATTCATAGAAATGATTTATTTGCCATTTATTTGTATTGTATTTATTTACATACAAAAATTTTTTCTTCAGTTATCAGAATTATCGAGATTTTTCAAAAAAGATGTGTTTATTAACTGTTTTCTCTTTTTGATCATATTT